CAACAGGAAGTATCCGTGGTAGAGGTCTGCTTTGGGTAGGGCCTTGGACAAGCAGTCTTAGCACAGCCTTTGCCATACTGAGCCAGCATCCTGCTAGGCCCTTCCCCCCTCCGCTCTTATCGTAAAAATGTATATTTTACAAAGTTGGAAGCAGCACTACGTACAAAACCCAAAGTCTCCATGGTAGAATGCGTATTTCAACAAGACACTCGCTTGTAGCATGCAATTGGAAACTGCTTGTTTGCAAAGTGTGTGATTTGATCTTCGGGACGTGTCCTCAAGTCCTGTCACCTAAGCGACCCGCTTTCTTCTCCAAGAGGGTCGTTTTCCCAATTCTCACCTTCCTCTATTCAGAGCTGGTTCATCCTTTTTGGAGGGATTTACCCCCAAGAAAAAGACACCTGCAGCATGCACAGAGATCCAGGAATCCTGAGATGACCAACCCATATCGCCAGACACCAGCCAGCCAGCGCCCCAAAAATCAAACCCATCGCCTGAAGAGCGCCGCGTCGTAGGCCCGGAGCTTCGCGAAGGCGGAGGCCTCCATTTCGCGCTATTCAGATTCCACGTAAATACCTTTCGCAAACCTCATGGTTTCAACTTTTTAACCATGGTTTCAAAGTGATGCGACATGGATTTTGTCCATCCACGGTGGGAAAAGACCTACAAATGGTTTCCCTAACCGAAAAGACGGTAGGGTCAACCTAGGCCTTGTTGAAATGGAAAGGAACCAGCTTCAGAAGCTACGAAGCCAACCAGGCCCGGTCCCCTTTTGCCTTCGTTTTGGGATAGCGATATGATCTATCTTAGCACCTAGTAGGGTTCGGAATGGGTACGTCTCAAAACTGCATCCCCTTCCCTGCAGGTGGTTGGTTTCCTGTTGGTCCCACTTTAAACAGTCCAAACAGGTACATGAGGCAGGCCCAAGCTTAAAATGGTGGGAAACTGACTGTTTTGTAGGAATGGCGGGATGTTTTGCAACTATAACTAACACAAGTCAACCCGGGCATGATGATGGCTCCTCCAAATAGTTAGTTCTTGCTGCTTCCCTTCCAAGACTGCCCAGCACGGCATCCCAGATTTTGAGACACGAGAAGCTGCGCGTTGTGAGCCAAAATCAATGCTTCCTGGATGGGGAATGCTGATGACCTTTCCAGAGGATCCCCATTGAAGCGCCAGTCACCACACCCAGCACAACCAGCTGCACCTTTGACAATGACACATGCACACCACGCGGTTTCTACTTTGCAAACATGTCCATGATCCATGATTCGCATACTTGCACCATTTCGCAGTTTGCAATTTGTTTTCTTGCAAGCCCTCTCTGTGGACAGTCCGGTTCAAAGAAGCAAAGACCGGGCCCCCAAGCAATGAGCGCCAGCTCCTGGGCACTTGCGTCCGGCAGCTTCCAAAGCAGCTCCTGGCAGGTGAGCTTCTCTAGACAGGGGACCTCATTGTCCTGAAATTCAATTTCCAAAATGCCTTGCAGCCTTACCTAGTGAGCTCTTGGGGCGACTACGGTGCATGCCATGTCTCAGATTTCCAAAATGGGTCATATGCTGAGAAATCCAAGCTGCTACTTCCCCTGTGACACCCTCTGTAATGCATTGAGGCAACTCGTCGCACAAATGTGTATTTATATATATATATATATTATGCGTTCCTATCGCAAATATTCCCCTGGGCTTGGCGGGAAGAGGGATGTCTTACCGAAATGAGCCTTGCTTCTGCACCCGCAGGGGCAAGGGACAAATGCAAACGAGTGCGTTTTAAGCCTAGGAGGATAGAAAAACGGTGAATACGCACATGTATGTACCAACTTGTAATATTTATGTGGTTTGTCCGATGGATGTTGCCAAGCGCCCCCCCCCCCCCCTCCTCTGCGCAAATGCGGAATAGATCCGGCGCAGGGTGGCCCAGAGAGGCATAGCTGTTGCACAGCAGCGCCAAGTCCTCCGAGCTTGGCGCTATGGCCACATGGGCTTGGAATCATTGCACAGGTAACTTGCTGGGGTAGGTCTTGGGGCAATGCGGCATGCTTCTATTGACAGTCCGTGACGTGATGGTCGCAACATCTGGGCACTCCATGGCACTCCTGGATGTTGAAAACAGTGAGCCAGGCAGGGCTCAGCTGGCCGGCCACGTAGTCCAAGAGCTGAGCCTTGGAAGTTTGACTGCGAACGACGAGCCGAAACATGGTGCCCTAGACCACTCTGCAACTTGGGGATTGACAAAGCCTTGCTAAAGCTTCGTAAGTTGTTCTTGCGGGCTGGACCCCAAATCCTTGCCCTGCCAAGTTTCCCTCCATTTTGGTTCTGGTGTGCTGTCTGTTTCCCTGCGGCTGCCCCCTCACTCTACCCCTTCCTCCTCACTTCGCCCACAACCCCCCCGCCCGCCACACGAAGGCACGAAGGCATCCATGCTCTGTTGGGGCGTGCCGCAACTTCCTGATGGCCCTAGGGGCTGGTTGAAAAAAATCCCCGCAACACATTCGTTTGGTGAGTTCCAAGGATGCTCTTGCTTTTGGAGGGCGGGCAGTGGTACCTTGCACTCCTGGGCACCGGCATCTTTGACCTGCTTCCGTGCCAGGCTGGACAACACCAGGCTGATGTTCCTGCGGCCAGCAGCTTGCGGCACCCTGGATAGGGTTTTGGAAAGGCCTCGATTCAATCATGCGGGGGGCACAGTTGTTCTATACTGAGGTGAGTCAAAGCAGGATTTAGAAGTGAAGAAACGGAACAGGGATATCTTGCTGTTTAGCCTTCCTTCAAAGCCTCCAAATCCTTTTCGATCAGAACTGATTCAAAAAGAACTGATTAACAAAAAAAGAAAACACTTTCTGCGGCCACGATGTTAATCTTGAACCCCCGCTTTGCTTGTATTTGCCAGCGTCAACGTGGCACAATCAACTTTTTCCCCGCGCAACGCCTCATGTTGATTTCGAATTCAGCTTGAGGATCGTACCAATCTTGCGGGATGTTTCACCTCCAGAAATTAACCAGCGGGGGATTCCTCCCATTGTGATCTGCATGAAGCTGGAGCCAGAGGTACCCGGACCTAATGACCAGCAGGATCTGCCTGGATGAGAGCTGCTTGAGGTAGTGATGGAGCTCCGAGCAAATCCCCGCCCAGAACTGGGCATCACCTGCTGCACTGGTCGGCGGCCATGTTAGGTTCTCATTGGCAGACATGGCAAGCAAAACATGTGTCAAAATGATGTTCATTTCCACCAGCAATTTGGGGGGAGCAACCTGGCAATCTGCAACACCCAAAGGAGATCAACTGGTGTTCGCGAGTCTCGCGGCCCAAATGTCACACGTGAAAGGCATCAAAGCAGCTCTGGACCAGGTCAGCGGCCCCTTGTACATGCATGAAAGTCTGGACTCGGGCTGCAAACATTGCTCCAAGCCTGTCCCAATGCGGCAACTGGTACACAAATGAGTCGTACAGTAAGTGTCCAACCACGGGATTCCAGATTGTTCCTACCGGCACCGCATTCCAAAAGGCTTAGCATCTCCAATTTCTCCAAGATATCAGCACAATCCTAGGGGAAATAACATTGGAATACCCAGGGAATTACTCATACTCAGGGAATTACGTACAAAGGCAAAGGCGTGGGATCCACAAAAAGCTACTTATTGAAACAGCCCTGATCGAAACGATCACTGATGTATATGAATTCAGCGGCATGTCAACTGGTCGGCTTTTGCGACTTCACACCTCTCCTCGCCCGCATTGGTGGCAAAGCTACCCTCCCTCTGCTCCCATACCTCTTCCCAAGCTAGTTTGAAGGTCATGAGCAGGGTGCCACTCATGATGGTGCCATTCCCTGTCAAAGGCAAATACCTGGAAATTGCGTGGCGGTCTACCTCTACGCTCCCATATCTGGGCAAGTTCTGCTGTGAAAACCAGCCGGCGACTTTCAACAGGAATTCAAAACGAGGGAAGGTGAAGATATGGGGTACTGCCTCTCCTTTTCCACAATCAAATCCATAGGGCTGACAGTCCAGCTGAGCGCACATACTTTTTGGCAGTGGTCAGTCAACCAGGCGGACTGCAGGATTTGCGCCGTCTGGGGAACTGTGTGTCTTGTAAGATGCGTAAGGTGCACTGACTCTTTCAGTGCGCCCTACGGCTCTACCCGTTCTCAAAGTTGCCCGCATGCTGAGGGAGAATAAGCAATGCCATCCATCAAACACAACAGCTCCATTTGTGCTTTTGGCCAACATACTTAGCAGCTCATGTCATGGCCGGAGTGAGAGTTTTTGGAGTGTACATTCGATGGGCCCCCTCATTCGCATACCCTGATTTCTCCCCATGCGGTTCGGCATGACGGCGCTGGAGTGCAGCTTCCCTTTCTCTCCCACTTGAGCTCGCCCAAGTGGCAGGGCTAAGCTCGAACAGTCATGTCCAAAATGCACCTAACAAAGCCATGCGCTCACATATCACAAGCTGATTATGCTCCTTTAACCTCAATGAGGGGCCATCGAACCTCCCTGGGTGGGTGGAACACCTTGCAAACAATTTCTATTGCTTTGTGTACGTCAAAAGCGTGTGCATAAAGCAGGAATCCCTGATAGGTTCAGCTTTGCTTAAGGCCTTGCAGTTCACTCTCGACAACTTCACGTTAAAGCTAATCCATCAATCCGAAGCGACGATGCAGGTCATCCCATACTCGTGCGCGAAACTTTGGTGAATGGAGGATCCGGAAACAAAGCAAAAACAAAACCGCCGCTCTTGAATTGATTTGGAAAGTTGAACACGATTGGCTATTTACTATTTACCAAACATGGGTCTGCAGTGCCGAACCTACTCCAATGAGCAAACATGATTGCAGCAGCACTTGCACCACGTGTTGCGCTGAAGGAAAGCGTCAATCCAGGCCAGGTGCAAAGTCAGATAAAATGCTTCACAAGTCATGAAGCCTTAAGACAGAAGTTGGGCGGGCGGCTGCTCAGGAATTGATTTAGGTCGGAAGACCAAGTTTGCTCCGGTGCTTTGCCATCACTGCCAGGGTGGCCCCCAGGGTGCTTGATAGATGGCAGCCGACCGCTAAATGAAGCCATGGGCAAAACGAGCATCCCGAGCCCAGGATGGAAATTCTTATAATCTTTGGCCCTCCCCTCATTCGAGGATCGGGCGACGGCCACACGAGCCCCGGAAGGTGCCGCGCAGCAAGTTCAGATCCTGCGAACTGAATGGCAGGCAAAGGCTTGGATCTTGGCCTTGGGGTTCGGGTTTGGTGGGCTCCTGCTGCCCTCCCAACTGCACATGTGCAACCTGACCCGATGCCGAATCGGGTCTTGGTCCTTGGCAGGTGGGGTGGCTCGCCATGCAGATAAGGCACGAAAGCGCAAGACACTACAAAATAGGCCATTCCGAGTGTGTTAGAGGTTTATGCTCCAAGGAAGGTGAATGTTGAGTAAAGGAAAAGCACGCCAAAGGAGCCCAAGACCTCAACACAAAAGATCGTCAAGGTCGTCAGGTCGAAGGCTCCCGGGGGTGGTGTTTCATTGCAACCTTGCGTGCCAAAACCCGTTTCGGGGTTGTCTATCTCCACATAGGGAAACCCTCAACATGGAAGGGTTCCCCTTGGTTTCCCTTGCCGGTAAGCTCAAAACAGGGACACACGCACACATTATGCTGCTCAACTTCTTGGTTTTACCCCTCCTGCGACATCCGCTGGGCGGTGCTCTTGTCGCGCTGGAGCAGCAGCAAGTCCTAAGCTGAAGCCACCACTTGCTTCAGAGCCACTCCAACTGGAAAAACAAATAAAACATCGCAAAAAAGCTGGTTGCCCAAAGGGCGAACCCCGCAACCCTCAACGCCGGCCCAAAACGAATGCTTTCCCTTTAGCTTCCCTCTAAACAACCTCGAAAAGCTATACCTTGCTGCCGAGGGCGCCCTGGTGGTGCGGGACCAGTCCACGGCGCCGCTTTCGCAGCCGGAATCCTCCGAGTCCGGCGGCTCCTCGCCATCGTCGTGGTCGCACGGCTCGGTGCACTCGGAGTCGTCCTCGAAGCCGAAGTCCGAGGGGAGCAAACACCTGGCGACGTGTGCCGCTGGGTGGCGTCTTTAAAAGTCATCCGTTTGCTTCATCTGTAAAAGAAAGTGTCTGACCTTCAACCCATTAAGGTCCAAGGTGTAAAAAGCAGGCTCTGCCATGTTCTTCCTGATGTCCGGACGCAAATATATGCTGAGGTGCAGCGCCAGGTGCGGGCCCAAAACAGGTTCTTTCCACCACACTCCTAAGTGTGGGTAGTCCATACCAAGACCCTCCAGATGGTAGCCGTGTGCCAATCAATCTAGCTGCTTTTCTTCTTGGTATTTAGCTTGCAGGCGGCGAGCTTCAAACAAGCGCAGTTCTAGGTTGGATACGCATGTCCAAATGCCGCCAAGTCCATGCCGAGGAATTCACATAAATCAGCTGGCAACGGAAACTCAACAAGCCCGCCTCTTGGCCTCTGGCTCTGGGCTTGCTGTCGTGCTGGGCGTGTCCTGGCTACGTCATGCTGCGGTCTAGGAGTGCCAAGGCCTACAAATTGGGCATGGAACCCGCTTGCACGGTTCTTCATCTGGGGCACAACCTGTGGAAGTGGCAGGTAAACAAGAATGGTTGCAACTTGCACTAGGCGCATGTTTCATCATTGTTGGCCAGCAGAGCTGTTTGGTTCGACGATGCGGTTGCTGCTGCCACTTTGTAGTATTGACTGTGAGTTGGGTGCCCTAGCAGGTATGCCACTTAGTTCATGATTTCTTCCGAAGTTCTGTATCATGCAATCTGCCAAACGAAGACGCGAGGGCCTGCCTCCTGATCTTCCCACAGGTATGGCATGCTTGCAAAAATATCTCGGTTCAGCTACCCTCACCCTGGGCGACCCGGTAGCCCTACATCCTGGAGGCTGCCTTTGACCTGTTGAGCTCCAGCATGTTGGGTGTGACTGTTCGAGGGTACTTCAGGGGCTCATTCAAAATGGAAACCAAATTGAAAACCAAACAAGCTGTCAAATGGCCCTAACAGATTGCCCAGTGTATAAACCACTGGCTCTCGAGGGTGCCTGCTCGTCCTGCAGATCTGAAGCTTTGGACTCTGGCGACCTTTGGCCGTCATCATCCGCGGTTGACTCGGAGGCCTTCTCTGCGGAAGCGACCTCCTGGCCGGATAGGCCCACGCGTTTGGCCACCCTGAAGTCAAACCAAGAAATCAGAAAAACATCGTCCCTAAGTGGCCCGGGTGGCACCCCAAGGTCGACCCAAGGGAAACGTGATGTCTCGGCCTCTGATCAGAAAGAACGACTTCAAGTTGCCTCAGCTGATATGAATTGAGTCGCTGCCGACCTCTTTGACACTCCATCCAAGCAAACATATACGGGTTTGTCTCAAAACTGCAGGGTTCCCCAATCAGGTTTCCTCTTGCTCTGCCTTGCAAACCAATCGAAACTGGGCTCCCGAAAAAGAAGATTCACTCATATATTGGAGTTGCCATCTTCCTAGCTGCGTCGTTGACGTACCGGTCACCTGTTTCGCGAGGTCGAAAGGAAAGGATGTATCTCAGTAAACCTCCAGCGATTGCCGCTAAGAATCTGCACATGAATCATGAACCAGTAAAGGTTCACTGAAAGTGACAGAGTGAGGACCAACCCTCACTTCCGTGGCCTGGCCGAAGAAAAGCAACACTTCCTGCTTGCCACTAAACCGGTCTCCCTAAAAAACAACAAAGCAAAAAAAACGAATCAACGGAACTGCCCAAAACAGCGCAAAGCAAAAACAACAGGAACTCCACAGGTGAACTCCCGGGCACGGGCTCGCCGCGCGTCCTGCGCCTCGTGCGCCTCGTGCGTCTCGTGGCTTGGGAGCCAGTCGTTGGAGCTGCTCACTTGGAGCTCTTGGCTCGGCAGCCAGGAGCCGCCTCGGAAGCGCCGGGTGAGGTGTCGGTTGACCACCTGGCCCAAGGATTAAGGGATGATATGGTTGACTTTTAAGGATTAAGGGCTGATATGGTTGACTTTGAACAACTTAAATATTTGGCTGGACATTATGTACTAGCAAGAGGTGAGGAAGAAAGGACCCCGTGTGACCAAACGAAAGCCGTAGGCAGCTTTGATGCCTGCACGACAAGGTATGCATCTGACTCAGCAGCCCGGTTTTGCATGATGGCTCCGGAGAGCGTTTGTCTTTGGCCAATCTGGCTGGCAGGCCCTCGCAACCAAATACACCCTGCTGTCTTTCAAGGTGCCTGCACTGAGGGACTTAGGCACACGCAAAGCATGCACAAAGTACCTGCATGGTCAATACACTACCGGCTCACTATTCTTGTTCTAGAGCATGCTTTCGCGACCTGTAAAACTCCAACTTCTGACCTCTCGAGCTACAAGACGGAATTTAGCGATCCCGCAAACCCATCTTCTTGGGGTAAGGCTCTTTTGGCTCCCAAGGTCAATCATTCAAGCTCAGTGCGGCGAGGGGTTGGCCCAAGCAGGGTCGTACTTCTAAAGGTGTTTTCGATGTGGCATGCCGGTTGAATCGGGAAAGTCGGCAAGGAATTATCCGGCCCCTTGAAGGAGTTGTTGATGTCATCCTGCAAGCTAGAACAGCTGAAGGCAGGCTAATCGTGCTTTCTATTCCCAATTGGACAATTACTACACGCATAGTTGAATTGCATTGAAGCAGAGTTTCTCATAACCCCAAAAGGGTTTCAGGTTCCCCGACTTATTGCCCCTAGATTGGGAAACCATGAACATGGCTGGAAGGCCTACCATGGTAAGACAGACCCATAGCGTTTGCCCGCCAACCAAAGACCTAAGAAGACCACGGGGTAATTCTGGCTCATATTTAGTGAACATAAGAAAGCCGAAAATATTCTGGCATCGGACCCAACAGCAACATGTATTGAGCCCATGTCGCATTGAAGCCCAAACAAAGAGATCCCATCGGACCCAATCCGACTGACCGAAGCGGCAGCCCACGAGGTCCGCATCTGCGCCGATGCGGTGGGCGGCGTTGAGCATGGAGATCCAACGGAAGGCCTCCGCCTTTGCAGGGACGCCCTTGGTCGGTCGGGGGGGTCGGTTAGTTGGCCCCAAGTGCCATGCGCAGGAGTTGTCTTCTTCCTGCCGCAGTTCATATTTAGTAGAAACCTTCGTAAGGAGTTGGCGGGGGTGAGCAATGGGAACTTGAGGGAAGAGTCGGTGTCAAACGGCCGCCCTACTCTTCGGCTCAAGCCTTTGTCTCAAGCAATGGTCAGGTCATCGGAGGTTTTAAAGACTGCTTGACGCCTACAATGCCAAAACGCACGCTGTCAGGATCCAATGGGCTTGGCACATCCGAAGCAAACAATCACATGCCAGGTCCTCCCTCCGTCAACAATCGAATCCCGAACAGTGCCAAAGGACGGCCCAAACTTGCCCCAAGGACTGCGGCAACTTTTCGAGCGCGCCTGCTCCTCAGCTTCAAGCCTGAGCCTTGGAGTTCGGATTCGGAGTCAGAGGCTGGTTGCGCAAGTCCATGTACGACTATACATATATATATATACACATGTAACTACATACACATGATTCACACCGTGTTTGTCCCCTGTGGGGCCGGTTGCAATGAATTAAACCAATCACCCGTGGCTCATACCAGACTTTCATGCATGGGTTCATCCCTTCAACATTCATAAATTAATCGCTGGCTTTGCTTTTCGCGGGGCTTCCTGATTCCTTCAGGATGAATTGGGCCGAGGTTGACACCAAATGGACTGCCAACGGCTTTGCAAATCCGAAAGCCCTAGCTTTCCACCTCCACCTTTGCGAGTTCTGAGTTTTGTTCCGAAAGCAAAACACTGAGAAAGGGATCTGAAATGAATCTGGGAGTGTAAAGGAAGCTACAGGGAAGCCCCCATTTCTGGCCTCCCCCATTGACTCCGCCATCCTTCCGCTCCCAAATGGCCGCGGAACACTCAGCTCTGGCGACTCACGGCGGGTTGCCTGCCGAGAAACGTGCGGCCCACAGACCGCACAGTGAAGGGGAAAATCCCGGGCTTTGCCTTGTGCCGGTCATGGCCCAAGTGGGCCCCCAGAATCTCACTGAAGGGGATGCAGACCGACACCTGGCCAAGCCAACATGGATGCTGGTGTGGACATTCTTGGGGAAGTGTGGTTGCAAACCCCTGGAACTAAATCTAAAATTGAAAAGCTGTTCTCTGCCACGTTCCATGAGTTTACCAAACATGGTGGCGAGCCATGGGGTACGGTAATTGAGCCACCAATGAAGAGCTTCGGGTCCCTGATTTCCCCACTGCCCAGTCTGGGTGCTATGAAGCATGGGGTCTATCGAGTCCAAAGGGCCGAAGGAAGGGCTGGCTATAAGAACAAATCCGGCTCTTCCACGCAAATACGACAACCCAGATTTTGCGAAACACGGAGCCCGGCCAGGGGCCAGGTGACCAACTGTCAGGCCTGAGCATTTCGAGACTCCCCGTGGGCGTAGAAAAACACCTTCCGTTCGAAGTCAATGGTGAAATACCTTGGCCGCCGGTGTCAGAAAACTTCCGCCCAAGCGCTGCCTGTACAACTGGGGCCAAACAGGTCAACATTGTGGCTCGAAGCGGGGGAACTAGAGGCCCAAATTGACACATGTTCTGCCTGGAAGATCAAACACGACACCAGGCAAAGAAACAACAGAAGAGGTTAGTACCTGTTGACATTTTCTGCCTGGAGGATCCATCAAGCACGGCACTGGGCAAGGAAGAGTGCCTGGGCGACTTCCGACAAATCCAGGAGACAATTTCAGCCCACGGTCCCGGCCACTGTCACCGGATGCATCCAGGTGGCCTGCGCCCGAGGCTCTGAAACCACTTAGCTTTTGGGCCCTCCGTCCTCGCTTTGATCAGCCATGCGCTGAGTCCTGGGACTGACAAGTCAGCACAGTCGCAACCACATGAGGCAAAGCTGTCCTTTCAACTCAGTTTTCCTGAAAATAAATAGATGCCTCTCAAGTTGACGGTCGAAACAGGCTTGGAAACACTGCTTTTCGGAGCCAGGTACAGTTTAGCTTCCTTGGAAAAGCTGCGATGCAATTTCGACTTGCCCAGGGACTGCAAACTTACCCATCCAGCACTGCGGAAAGTTTCCCATGACACTTTTGAAGCCAAGTAAGAGCAAACGATAAGCTCGCTGAGCCTGCTTGTGCCTTCTTGCTGAATTGCTTGCGTGTGAGGTCCTCCACGAATCTTTTCTCAAGCATGGTTTCGAAGTCTTCAGTGGATCTCAATATTTTGTGTTTGCAAACATGAAGCATCCTTATTGAGCCTGATTGAAGTTGAGCTATCGCCGCCTTGTTTGGTGCGTGCCCGATTAGACTGTTCAATGCTCGCGTCCAGCAACTCTGATCCTTCCTCTCAGAGCCCAAAGTTTACACATGCTGTTTGGCAACAAACCTTGCTGCCGCCTGAAAACCTGCCATCCTCACAGAAACCTGTTTGAGGTCCGGGCTGAGACAAAGTCATCCCATGTCTTCCCTAAGGCTCTAGGTGTCCATCCAAGGCTCTTCCCCGCAGAGTAAGCCGCGGATTCGGCCGGGGAGGCGCCATTTGTGCCGATCTTCGGCAGGCTGAGCCAAAAACAGAAAATGGCCAAAGTTGCACACGGAATCCTGATGCTTAGACTTCGGGCAGGCAGAATTTGCACACACACACACACACACGGATACACACAAATACACACTGTTACACACTGATACACACACACACAAACACACGATTGACTGGGACTTGCCCGCTCCAGCCTGGGCGCAGCTTGTGCGCACCATGTTGAACCTCTTCCTGCCAAAGCTTAATCGGCTTTGAAACCAATGGCTTAAAACACCTTGCAGTTGGTAGTCGGCGGGTGTCTTTTTGGCCCAAACAACGCGTGGTAACACAATACTCTGACAACTCATCCAAGGGTCAGCAAGAAAACAAAGTGCACCACGAAGCGCAACCGCCAGCTCCTTGAAACCGAAAAGATTCTCAATGGCTGCAACTGTTGACCTTCCAGTTGCCTGTGCCAGGTTTGATTCAATGGATGGCCACTCGACTCACATGCTCGTCAAAGCTGAATCAAACTAAATTTGTGGAACCTCTTGGGCTATTACTTGCTGAAACTCATTCCCCATCGAAAGGTTCCGGCATACTTGGGTCAGGGGCACGTTGGAAGGGTCGAGGGTACTGGCGGGGTGCCATGCGAGATATTCGGCCCGAAAGGATGCCAATCCAACATGGCGGTGATGGCGCTGCAAGCACCTCGCAACATGCATATGCAAAACTGGCTGTCCCTGCTGCCCCCAAAACGAACCCGGCCCACTCCAGCCTCATTCTTGAGGCGTGACGCCCTGGCTAAAAGCAGTCGCAGGACCAAGTCTTGAGTCAAGTGGATGGGAAACAGGAAACTGTTGGGAAATTCTGACACAGGCAATCCGCACATTGAAAATGCAAGTGCGCACTCATCATTTTGAGAACCTTGATGGTTGCTGCAATGGCAGGTGACAAAGTCAGGTCAGAAGGAACCAAGTCATATATACATCCTACTGTTCCACTGCGTATTTACTATTCAGCCCTCCCACCCCCGCTCACTCGGGCGACCCCGCACATGCCCCACCTCAGCGCCACGTCTCCAATGACCTGCTTATAGCGCGCCTTTGGCCCTCGCTGCGCCAAGGTCCTTCCTGCAATCTGGCCAAGGCGTGTGTCGCGAACCCGTTTCCTGCTGGCAAACAATGCTGGTGACAAAGACTATTGGCCACCTGTCTGGGCATAGCGCGGTGATTTGCTGAATCTTTACGATATCTTGACTCGGAGGGCATCCACACTAAAGACCAAGCGGGCACTGGAAGAGTGAGGATTTCTGTCAAATGAGACTTTCCACAGCCTCCTTGGCGAGGGAGTGCGTTTTGTTCAAAGCCCGAGCCCGCGTACTCATTTGCAAAAAGATGGACTTCATCACACAGAACTTCAGAACCTCAATTTCCTGCAGCACCTCAGGGCATGGTAGCTCTACAATGCCCCCACTCTCGTATCTGGCTGGTGCCTGGAAACTTTTTGAGGTGGTTGTCAACCCATGCAACTCTTGCGACTTAAAGTTGCGAACCATCCCCTGAAAGGCATCCACTGTGCACTCGCCCCGGCGCACCGATTCAATCGCCATCACCGACCACTGAGGAAACACAAGGCCCGTGTCCCCACCCGTCCTCGGCCCGCAGCTGGGAGCATTGCGCAGCAAATGGCAAGCACGCAGCCTCGCAAAACCTTCAAGCTATGCAGCTTCAGGAAACTGATCTGATCTGCTCACTGAGTTGAAGGATCAAAGCTTGCAAGGCCGGGTACACTCGGCAAATGCAACCTTGGGAATGGACCAAGTTCCGACCAAGCCTATAGAAAGCAGAACATGAAGGCATCATCCGCACTTGCATAAGTACGGGAGATCTCCCGAGTGACCACGCAATACCAAACCACCAATGCAACCCATGACATGGTTGTTCCTTGTAGAAACATTCCACTGGCGAGTCCGAGCTTGGCTTTATCAGAGGAATCCGCATAATCAACGTGGGGAGCAAGGCCTCTATCTCTACATGTCAGGTTGCAGACTTGAACCATGTGAATGATGCAGCAAAAGGCCACGCTTCTCTAGCGCCCAGTCGAAAAATTGCCCACTGGGTTCTTTGACAATGCTGCGGGCCGGGCGGACAGTGCTAAGGGGTAGGGTGCTTAGGCGCAAATGCCCGCTCGTCCCAGGAACGCAGCAATGACGGGCTTCCCTTTGGCATTCAATACTGCAACTGTGTTGGAGACAAATGGAAGGACTGCCCCACAGGTAAAGGACGCCTGGCTGTGGACATGCCAGCTGGACACATGAGTCCTAAACAGATTCATTGAAGGCTTGCACGCACACATCCGACAACTACCATGAATCTGCCAACAGCCACGGGCCTCGGCATTGCTGGTGACTGCATGCAACTGCCTCCCTTCAAGTTTCAAAAGCGCCACAGTTTGCACCAAGCACATGACTCACAGAGCCTCGCGGCTTTCTGGGAGCCACATACATCGAGCCTAAATGTTCATGGGGCTATGGATTCCCTGAAGCACAAGACCAGCCCTTCGAGAAGCCAGTCACATGCCTGGCGCTTTGCTTGATGTGACCCCTAGTTTTCCCGCATAAGCTCCTTGAATGATCCAGGGTCGAGTTGTCTGATTCAGTCTCCACCGCCCGGCGTACTGATCTCCCCTCTCGGCGACCCTTTTTCGCCTTAAATTTAACTCATACGCATCTACACATCTTGTCTAAGCGCCTCAGGCAGCTTAACTGCCCGAGCAAGCCGCGCTTGGCAGGGTTGGCGGCGGGCTAGGCACGAAGGGTGGGGAAAGCTCGGCCGATCCCCACCGCTCTCACTGATGGTTGTAGCTGGTTTGAGCAAATGCGAGGGGCACCACAAGATTCGAATAAGCAGGATCGACGCGAGACTGGAGCGCATACAGGAAACAAGCCCTTCTTTCCTCCAGCTTGACACGAACAAAACCGATTGTCCTTGATTTTTGGGAGCCCCTGATTTTCAGTGCCCACGCTAATTTGCCGGAGCGTACATTGACAAGGGACGCTGCGGCGCAACAGCAACAGGCTCAAGAGGGTCAGCATTGAATCTAATATGCAGCGAGCCGAACCAAAGTGGAACAATGTGAGTACCTTGGGGGTAGGTCAGGATAGCATTGTCGGCCCGTCTCATGGAACGAAAAACATGAGAAAGCTTTTGCGTGAAAGCCTAGGCCTAACCTTAGCCATCCTTGACATTAAGTTGGCTTCTGCAGGGTACCCTCAAAATAAAGACACGCCCATCCACTCTAAGCCATGCCATGCAAAGTGTCCAGCGCACCTGGATGGCCGGTGCGCACCCCGCCGACAACGACCGCGGCCAGCGCCTTAACAAAGAGCAGCCCGGAAGCGCGAAGCGCACCCGGGCGGCCTTTCCTTTTGAAAGGCGCCAAAAACGGAGCTTGGAGCTGCCAGAAAGGGGCGAGCGCAAAGGGCTCGAGATCAGCTCTGGCCGATTCTGGGTTGCTTTGCAAAGTGCTTTCAGCGAAAGGGCGAGGACATAGCATGAAATGGTTGAACATGAGGCGTCAAGTGCTCAACAGGGAAACTCAGAAAGCGGGAGTACTACTAAGGAACCACAGATTCAGTTCAGCACCTGAGCTTGGGAGTCAAACTTGTCAGGTTGTCATTGGCGGCTGTGGGTGGCAGGCTGTGAAACGAAGAGTAGCTCGAATGTTGCTTCAAAAGATATAGTTCCAGCTGACCGTTCAAATGTTACACGCTTTTGAAGGGACTGTTCTTGTGGGCGTTCGTTTGGGTCAGGAGGTCCACCCACCGCTGCGGGGCCGGCTCCATCTTTCGGATAAAGATCCCGGTAAAACGAAAGGAATCTGTAATTTCTCCACGACTGGCACTCTGGGTAATTCCCTGCACTTCAGGACTCTGATGTCGACAGGGGCTCAGAATCAGCCAGAAAACGGTGGCTCTTGGAAAAGCCACTCCAGAAATGTCTCGGTCTTCAAAGTGCCATTCGAGCCGGTGGCGGAAAAGACGGTCTTCACCAAAGCAGCGCAAGTGCCTAGCGAGCAGTCCGGAGACAGACCTGCTCGCTGCCTTGTTGCTTGTTTTTTCCCGGGCCAAAACAACATGCAGCCAAACAATCTAATCGCATCTTATGATCGGAAATTAGGTTTGAGCAAGCTGGAACAAGCATCCCCGGTTTTGGGGCTCCGGCTTGATCTGCAAGAGAGGGTTGGCGAGGCATGGTGTCGCAAGACTGGGGTAGCCGTATGCAAATGGATCTGGAGCAATGAACGCCAAAGCAAGTGTTACCTAGACTCTATCTTGCCCATCTAGTGCAAAATAACTTGATAGGCAAATGCCAAATCAACTCGCAAAACCAACGGTCATAAGCCCCTTTGAGCGCATTAACGCAGTGTGCGTTTTTGGGCTGGTGCAGGGCCGATGTTCACTGAGTGTGGGCACGCAGCAAGTACTTAACAAACCTTGTTTCAGCCGAAACCTTGCTTCACGAGCTCTGCTGACCCGATGTAGCAAGCAGCGTCCGTTGCACATCGAGCCTCGAAAACCAAGCCTCCACCAATCCACCCCACCCATCCCGCACACAACAGCCCCCATACCCCCCAACTTCAAGCCCTCCCAAAACTTTCGAACCCCGCAAGCGCGCCTGGCGGCTCTCCGAGGGCCTCTAGCAAGTCCCCCAGCGCCTGTCGGCTGAGCCGCGGGGTCTCCTTGAAGAGCGTCCGCAGGGCCACACCTCGCCAATCCGAAGCGCGGAGGTCCAGGAAAACTGCAGCATGCGCCAGACCCGCCTATGCCCTATCTCTCAACAAATCTAGCAATCTATCTAGAAATAGATGAATGAATACAGGAATAAGCAAATAAGCAACAAACAAACAAATAAATGCATACAATGAAAAGTTCACAATTGAACACACATATATATATATATATGTATGTACATCTAATAAATAAACCATGTGATGAATTGAAAGACACAAAAACATAAAAATAAACAACTAATAATAATAATAACAAAACATGAATAAATAAACACATAAATAAATAAACAAATAAATAAACAAGTAAAACACATAACGATAAATTGACTAACCAAATAAGTGAAAACATATTATATTTACATATATATATATATGTTTATGTAATACATGTCTAAGTACAAGAGACTGTAAGTAAATGAAAGCAACAGTACATATAAAAAAGAACACACATAAGTATATATATATATATATACACATTCACACCTCACACAAGCATATATTTGTACACTGTTATCTGTATTTTGCAGGCCTGCACCCACCCTTCCCACCCCTCAGTTCCACATGCGTTAGTTTAAGCGGGCCGAAAAGTGATACACTCTCTACGCTGGTTTGCCGGAACGGGCCCGCGGCATTCAAACCGGCATGGGTGTGGCAGTCGGGGGCCAAGGGTGCGATTGTCAGGGAGGGAGGCAACGAGTTGCAAATCAGTCAAAGATGAATCTCAGTCAAAGCTCATTTAACAAAGCACCTTTGGCAGCTTTAACCGTTCACAATGGAACGCCTTCAACAACTCACGCTCCGACATGCTGCTGGAACGGCTTGGTTGGATGCTGAGATGCTTTGCTTGCTGGAATGCGCCCGGAACCACCTGAAGTCAAACTTACCGTCAAAGTGAAGTAGCCTAAACTGCTTGAGAAGTCTGAGAACCTGAAAAGGCACTCAAATCGAACAAACAGTCCGCAAGGTGTTAGCTGCTCTTTCAGGCCGTCCGCTTGCTACTGCCCCAAGGTGCATGACACAAACAGGCGATCGCAGAAATAGGCAGCGGAAACTCCCGCTTGGCTGCATCTGACCCATGCCCCCAACAAGCAAGCGAGAAGGAAGCGCCTGTCGACAGCGTTGCCAGCTTGGACCGCTCTTCCTGCGGGCAGTCGATGCGCAGACCTCTTGCCCGCACAGCTCAGGAAGGAAAAACTTTGCAAAACCTCCATTATCGGTCCATCATCCGGTCGCCTTTTCGCTCATGCAATGGGAACAACGACAGGGCAATCCGTTTACACCAATGTACCTGCTGAAGGTTGCCTGTAGAATGCAGGTGTCAAGCTCTACATCAAATCGTTTGGGATCGGTTGTCCACATCCAGCTGCATTTGAAGAGAAGCAGAGCGGTAAAATGTTTATGTGGCCTTTTCAAAAGAATATGCTGCATCGGCATGCAAAGTGTGGCGGGTTAGGCAGCAATGTTGCAAGCGAGGACACGAAGGCTCCTAACCTGTTAAGCGAAAGTTGGAGATAGTTTATATCATTCCATGGCAGGTGCAACAAAAACCCTCCCAATGTTCAGTGGTGAGTCCATCACCTGATCCATTCCTGATGAAGTAATATCCCCTGGTCGACAAAGTGGCAGGAGTCCCACGTTAATAAAGAACCATCACTTCTGTTCTTTTTTTTTGAGGGGGGGAACACACACCCTCATGATGCGGGAGGTTTGTCTGGGCTCGACATCCCGGTGAAACTCAGCATTGCTAATGGTTGAACTGGCGCAGAAGAAAAAACAAGACGTTGGCATGGTGCTGCCTTGTCAAGCTGTGGCACCATGAACCGGGGCACCTCTGAAGCAAGCCTGTCACTTGCTTTCCTTACCCAGGCAATCCCTATGAAAGGGAACTGTCATCGTGAGTGAGGTAGACGCCGAATCAACTAACCACCATTTACCCAGCAAAGACCGCCCAAAAAGGGGCACCTCCAAAAGCGATAGCAGAGTCTCCTTTTCAGGAACCCCTTGTTGGGTTCCGTGCCACCCTCTCAACCAGAACCGTTTAGGCGGATCCAGTGGTTTGTTTCACCTCCTTTGGGCCACTTTGGGGGCCACGTGACATTCGCCGCGGCTATGGCGAGCCTGGATCGTCCACAGCTCCAGCGCCGTGGGGCGCTGCTCGGGCGCCAAGGCCAGGCCCAAAGCGAGGCCCGGGACTGCGCGCACTGCCTGGCCCAGCGCTCCAACATGAATCCAGCTGGACCAAACATGTGCGAAACCAGGGCCTCTCCCTCTCTCTCTCTCTCCCTCTCTCTCTCTCTCCCTCTCTCCTCTCCCTCTCTCCCTCTCTCCTTCTCTCCCTCTCTCTCTCTCCCTCTCTCTCTCTCTCTCTCTCTCTCTCCCTCTCTCCTCTCCCTCTCTCCCTCTCTCCTTCTCTCCCTCTCTCTCTCCCTCTCTCTCTCTCTCTCTCTCTCTCTCTCTCTCTCTCTCTCTCTCGCTCTCGCTCTCGCTCTCGCTCTCGCTCTCGCTCTCTCTCTCTCTCTCTCTCCCCGAGGAGTCGTCTGGTCCAACTTTTTGTGGTGTGAGGCCCGGATTCGGAGATTCAACCGCCAACAGACTTTGCCAACACGAAGACCCTGGCGGCAAAAGGGGGCTGGTGTGGCAAGGTTTGATGAGTTGACAATGGTTGCTGGGTCCGGGAGCCAAACCTCTCAGGGCCAGGAAAACTCATCAGGGTGCTCGGGCAAGCAAAGAGGTGGGAATCGGGTAAAGGCTCCAAATGGCAAGGGGGAAGAAGGGCTGACAGCACCGGAGGCCTGGGAAGGACGACAGAGACAGCCCAGTGGTTGATCATGATGTCTCTGTCGCGGATGGCTTTTGAAATATAGGGGCCCAAAGGAAAGGTGGTACGTCCGAACAATTGTTTCTTGTTCTCTGGACCCCTCCCTAACGCAAACCACCATTCAATACAAGCAAAGCTGGAACCACACGTGGAAGTTTCCCTTGTGTGGGGTTGGTGATTGGGCAAACACGGAAGAGAACGACCAAAAATTGTAATTCCTCTTGAGTACGTCATCCTCAAGTCTTCAGTCGCTGCTCCCCAAGCCTTCCCCCACCCGCAGGCCTTCCAACCCGTCCCTGCCCAAGGCTGCTCTGAAAGTCCTTTCACAAGTAGACGCTTTCTCCCTGGAACGGGAAATGAGAGGGCCAACATAGGGTTAAAAACCACTCGGTTGCTTTCTGCTCCCCTGCCAAAAGTTTAACCTTTTGTGGTTTAATGGAAAACCATTAGTTGGCAACAAGTTAAAGTGGACCCTAACATCCCAGCAAAATGTGCCAAAGACCAATTGAATCGTCCACCCTTGGAATTGGCGTGGTGCTTGATTGCCAGTCGCGCGCCTGTCGCGGCAGCTCGGCCTCCTGCCCTGCCGTGGCCCGTAGCTTCGCCCGCTCCACCAGCTCGATGAGGTGGCTCTGGGCCACAGGGTGGCATGGTTTTAGTGAACCACGTAGAAAAACGTGGGGTGGAGCCTGCCACCTGCCTCTTGTCTTCGTACCCGCAAACATTAAATCTGCGGTGAAAAGCCCAAACTGTGAGGGCTCGGCCCCGCTTTGGGGAGGGTTCCGCTTAAGGACACCTGGCAGGTCCTCACGAGGGTGCACTCATGCCTCTAGATTTTAAGCCAAGACAGCCCTACAGCCAGGTACGCGGATAGCCACGGTGGGCTGAATGGTTTCAATGGACACTGGGATACTCGAGAGGTGCACCGGTCCGCGCAGAAGCTAGTCTAACGCCCTGTTGTCCTTTGTCTGCTGGTGGAAAGGTCAAAAAGAAGCATAAGCTGGAATCATCATGACATGAATGAAGGTGTCCAAATGTTTCGGTTCTATCCTGAGTTGGCCTCCGAGCAACGGATGGTTCCAAGGTGTATTTGGTCATCTTCCGGGCTAAGATTCTAAAACACCGACACTTTGCAAATCAAATCGCAGGTGACAGTACTTCTTCCTGCTTGATCGCACCGCCATGAAACCGAAAGGTAGGTGCCTTCTCGACATACCCAACCGTGACAGCACCGCGCGTCACTCCCAGGCTCGCTTGTCGATGTTTGGACGGCCAAACGGCTGAAGGTTTTCAGAATGGCTTGGCAATGGGACTGGAACAAGCGGCCGTAAAAAGTGCCAAGATGGCAACAAGAACGCAGGCTGGAATAGGTGTCCTATTTAAAGGGGCCGGCTCACTGTTGGGGAAACCACTCCCCAATACATCTGCCAAGTTTACTCATCCCGTCAACATGTTTGAAGCCCCGGAGTTGGCCCCCCGTCCGGGCACTTTTTCGTTGCGCGATCTCGTCTGGCCATGGACTGTTCCAGGCCATACCCTGAGAGCTCAAATGCAGGGCGTAGATGTTTGGTCCTTCCAGAGTGAGCCAAGATACGCACGTGTTCGCCCCCATGGGTCTTCTTTTTACAACTTGTTTCCTCAGCTCTCCCTGGTTGGCAAGTGCCAAGTGCCCATCAAGCTTCAAAACAATCGGCCATCGTTTTTTGGTGGTCGATGCAACCAGCCGCTGGGCCCACTTAGAGCTCAGCCAGCGGCGGCTAGAAACAGCTTGTCCGACACTCCCCCAGCCTCCGAATCCGCTTGGGGCCTCTGCCAGCTTGTTCCTTCGCTTCTTCGGGAGGCCCGGGTCTGAGTAGTTCAAAATAAATCCCGAGTCCACACTCAGGAGCTCCTGTGGATGCCGCGTGCTTCAGCAAGAGGCAAGGTTTGACGAGCGTAGCTCTCCAACGCAATGCCGACGCGTTTCGGTCGGAAACACGCTATTCCGCAGGAGCATGAAAGCTGTAGCTGCCATGGGATGCAAGTAGAACCTGGGTTGTCGACTTGGTCACCCACAGGGTTCCTGACTGAAGAAAAACTCTGCCAACACAGCGCATATCCTTGATATACATACATGCGTGTATATACAGAAATAAATATGCCCACCCATGGATGGTGTGCATCATCCTGCTGAAAGGCACGGTACGCTACTTTTGCGCTGGTGTTTGGTGTCTTAAGCCTCAGAATGTCCCAGAATGTCTATACACACATGTGATTCCTGTGGTTCTTCCACACACACGTGATTGCTGAGGTTCTTGACAATTTGAGGGCCGGAATGTCTTGATCCTTTTGCGCTCTACGTGCTGCTGCCTCCCATGGCAAACCGCCGCCGACTCAGTGAGGGCCAGCAGCTCGGACCTCTGCGGAGCATCCTGCCTCGAACTTCTTGAAGTTGTCCTGGCACAGACGCGGGTCCGTGGGTAACAACATCATGGAATTGAAGGAGCCTTGCCAAAACATGCAGATGACCTAAAAACCGCACGTGTTCGATGGTTGGGACTAGGATCCATTACCAAACTTCAGCGCAGGTATTGATTCTGGCTGATACGGAACACCTGAAGGCTGTGATGCTCGGTATCTTGCCGGAAGGCTAGTCCAAGGCGCATCCTTAGACCTGTAGCCCCTCCCAATCAACGCCAGGGACCATTATATTGTCTTGGATGACAAGAACGCCGACGTCTGGACATTGACGTCACACAGGACGTCTCCTCGACAAACCATGCTTCTAGATACACATTAATACATCTACATATATCTATATATATATATTATAATGTATACTGAGCCTGTACGCAATTTAGATGTATTGTGGACACATGGACGTGATGCCAACAGCGCCACAAAGAGCAAATCTTTGTTCTGACCTGCATGTCAGACTCAACAAGAGTCTGAAACACAATCCAAACATGCGAGAATCTGGGTGTTTTGCATGCCTAAACTGCCTTTCGCGACATCGTAAGAATCGGCTCGCCGCAATTCTCAAATGGCGCGCTTCTGGAAAGCGTCGAATTCGGGAGCGCCCAACTTGCAGGGGATAGGTATGAACAATCAATCCCCCCAACGTGGGACACTACCATTCCTCCATTCAAAACGACGCAAAACTCGCAGGCTCTCAAAAAAAAACGGCACCCCTGGCTCAGGGAGACCCCCAGCGCTAAAAGCCTTCGGCATTCTCCTTGAAGAGCTTCGACAGCTTCTCCGCCGCAGCCTGGCAGACTTGCGAGGAGTGGCTTCCGCTGGGAAAAGGCGAGCGACGGTCATACAGTGGATGGACGAAATCCTGTACCACTTTGCAATCGTGGGACACCAGTGTTTGTTGGCATTTGCAGGGGCATCATTATTCCAGGGTTGCTTAGGTGGTGCAGAATCTTGTCCATCCACAGCATCTCTCTGCTACCAAGGGGTTTCCAAGCGAAATAATTTGGCTCCTACCACACTTGAGCGAAAGACACGGCAAATGATGGTTGAGCGGGTTGAACGACTGGCTTTGCACGAGTCGGAGAAAGGGGGGAGCAAATTCCAGAATGAGTCCGTGATTTCAAGACGGACAAGGGCTGTACGGACTTCATGCAAGCTATACTTCGGCTAAACTTGTCATATTGCCCTTCACTGCGCAACATTCACCAGCCCTTGGGCTGAAAAGTATGCAGTGATTCGCCTTGCATCGAGAGGACAGCAGCTCACACATCCCACTTGCATTTTATGCAAGCTAGTTCAGGCTGCAAAATACCCTTCAGAATCCAATCCGCTGAGTATGGCGTAAGTGGTGCTGTGCGGGGGCAAAGGTCTTAACCTCACAATGAGAAACTAAGAGATAGTCAAAGGGGAAAGGGCGCTGCCAGACCAGCTAGACCACAGCACGCGGGCAGTGGAGACCGTGCTGAAGCACAAAAAAAACGATGTTCAAATCATGCACTGAAAGGTTTAGGGAATCAACATCAAATAAGCCATAGTCCGCGGAGTCCGCGATTGAACATGGCGGGAATCAAAGTGCCTAACCCACCTCCGACGGTCCGACCGTGTGCAGCCTAGGTGCTACGCACCCGCTACAATCCACAAACCACAAACGGGCTGATCAAACAGCTTCTACAGCCGGTTCCCCAAACCGAAAATCACATTTTTCATTCTGATCCGCTTAGAAAGTCTCCAAATGCAAAAAGAAATTGGTTCAAAGCAACCCCAAGCCTCTCCGCGAAAACACCTGGCCTCAAAGGCGAACTGGTCAGCCCAGGTCTGGCTGGGCATCAAGATGTTGGAGTCTACGTTGGGGCAGGTCTTGGGCACCTGCAAGTTGAACCTGGCACGGATGGGCAATGAGGTAAACAAGCTCCGAGCTGCCATGAGTCTCCAGCTTGCAGGGAAGTGACAAGTGACAACGAATCAACGAATTATGCAGATTCAGATCTGCTCCGTCTTCCTTTGAGACAAACAACTTGCGAGTTTGTTCGGATCCGAGATCGGGACTTGACTGAACTGTGGCGACCCATCTGCTCTTGACAAACCATCCATGTTTCAGGGGCGCCCAGGCTCTTGAGACCCAGCACCGAGAGCACCTGTGGCATGGTGGTTCTTGTGGGTGCCAAGTGACACCATATGCTAGCATCGGGTAGACATTGTAAGACATCAACAAGAACAATTGCGCTTTAAGCGTTGGCGTGTCTGTCTTTAAAATGCAAAACACGTCATCGTCTGTAGCATTTTGAAAGATGCTTCGCAACAGGATGTAACGCGCCAACACTGGTGATCAAATCAGTGATATCTGACATGCTGACATCAGCTGTCGCAAATGTATGAAGCTCCGGGTACGAGCATGAACTGTGAGTCTCGCACAATGGTTAAATGATATGCAAACACAGTCAATAGTTCACAAGTACTCTGACTGATCTGCATCTACACTCATGCTAAGAAATATCCAACAACACCAAACCAACCAAGTCAATAACTAATCAGTGACAAACTTTAGTTTGAACCTGATACTATGTCAAATGAATCATGCTCAATGAACGGCTTGAATGATGCAACACAACTATGATATCCAATAGTCTAGCTGACACACTTCGCTGGAAACGGCTTTCTGCCGTCACCTGGCCGTGTAGAAGTGAAGGCTGTCCTAGTACTGAGCGCCGCTCTGAAGCTGACCGCTAGGTTGACGAAACTTGGCGGCGCCCCGAGTTCCGTTGTGTTGAGTTGCCCAACAAAACGAACATGGCACACGAGTCTGGAAGCATGTTGAAGCATGAAGGAACCCGAGAAAAAAACTGCCAGAATGATGTTCACGGGGCCTGGCGCCAAGCACCGCCTCGTTCTTGGTTATTCTCTCCCATGGCTCTTAGCTTCCCGTTTTCCCAACCCATCCCATCTCGGGCGCCTGGGGAAGTTCACGTACTCCGCCTTGGCCAACTCCCCCGAGTGGATGGCGTCGATGATGGCCCGGGTGTCCGCGAGGCTCATGCGGTGCCCGGAGCCGTAGGCGCCGCCGGTCCACCCGGTGTTGATGAGCCAGGCGTGCACGTTGTGCTTGGCCATCCTGACTCTACGCGGGCTGCTCCCCTTTTTGGGGTTTGCCAATGGGGGCGAAAGGGATCTAGCCAACATTAGCCAACTGTCCCAAGACAGGAGAACCAAACCCAAGCTTGTGCCATCAAACCAAATGGCCTAAAACAAACCAATCCCGACGCAAAGGTATGGATATGTGGCACTGACAGGGAAGGAAGGGTAGGAACTCAACTCAGTGTTGCCAGCAGTTGAACCTAACTCTACCTGATCTACTTTCCCGCAGACACAGTTCTGAACTACAACTGCTCTCATCTAGATCGATTCCGCCCTCTGTGCATGCATCGCTTGAAGCTTGCCCAACGCAACAAATAAGGGGATCACATGACCAGCAGCCTCGATGCTCACTTTGCGAAGCTAGCGTGAACCAACTCAATTTGCAAACGATACAAATTGCTGCACAATATCTTCTTTGCTTCTGTCCAGCGCAACTCCCCAGCTTTGCTGATTGGCACTTGGAACGCTTTCGGAGCCATGCTTTGCGGCAATACAAAGCGCACTCTGCCGCTTGAAGCTGCTCACATCACAGAGTCCAAGGACGCATGCGCTCTTTGCTGACGGATGAGCTGGCAATAGCTGGCATACGCATGCTTGAGAATAGCCCGTCTTAAATAGCTGGCTCAAGTCTGCAGGTTTCCACAAAGACCAAGGGTGGAGCTTGTCTCATTTGTCTCCCCCCATTCCAAATCCAGATGGGCAATAAAGGGAAACCACCTGGAGAAAACCCCCAACCCCTCCGAGTTGCGTGCGACTTCCGATTTGGTCCCAGGCGCTTGTCCGCTAGGAGCTCGGCATACTTGGCCGGGTGCCACACCATGAAGGGCGCACCGAAGCATGCGGAGAAGGTGGCAGTGGGCTCCGACACGCCCTCCTGAGGCAAAGGTGCCAAACCAGAGATGGAAAAACCTCAAAATGGCGGCTTCCCTTTAAACCAACCCGAAAAGGGTGATACAACAAAACATCGCGGGTTGCAACAGGTTGGTCTCAAACCAGGATTTTGCACCTTCCAAAAAAAGAGGTTTCCTTTGGTTTCCCTTTACACCAACCCCAAAAAGGCATCTCAGGGCATGGGGGCTCTCCAACTTGAAACATATCATCTTCGTAGGCATGCCCCCCCGACGCATGTGAACCAGCAACGTCGAAATGGCAATCCCAAGCAAATGGAAAAGCACTCCGCGTTGTGTAGGGGACTTTAAGATTTACCTGGAGATTCCACGCAGGCCATGACTTACATCAAGTCTTTTGGAAGCTGTTGGCACCCTGAGGGACGCAGCTAGCGTGCTCAACGAAACAAAAGCTGATTACGCTTTTCGTTTAGGACACTGACTTGCTGAGGTGGCTGTTTGCAAAGATTGGGCAAATCACCAAGCTGAGATTGGTTCGCCCCTTTGACACTTGGTTCCCCCCTTTGACACATAGCGTGTACGACCTTTTTGTGGGAAATCAATGGAAGCAAGAGAAAAGGCTACAGCATGATGAAGGCTGACAAAATGAAAAACTCAAATAGTGCGTTGCCTACGTTGAAACCCAAGAGCTTCGCAACAGCCCTGGCTGCTCATGCCTTCCAACCCCGAAAGCAGCTGTGACCTGAATCGACCAAAGCTACATGCAGGTTCATTGTCTTCATCGGGCTTGGTACAATGTTTAGATAGGCCAATGTCCCCAGGTTTCACGTGAAAAAAGGCTGCAGGGCTGGGGACATTGGTTTCTGAATGTTTAAGACGCTAGAAGAGCTGTTATCTTCCCATTCTGCAGCGCCATTTTGTAGACCCGACCAAAGCCTCAGCCTCAGCCCGTTCCTCAAGCACATCCCGCCTCAGTGCCAGCGACCTTTGCAGTGTAGCCTGAGATGAAGTGGTACATCGCCTGGCGAACTCACACCGCCTTTGCACGATTTCGTTTTGATTCTCCATACTAGCTTAGTTAACCTCAATTGTTTTTTCTCACTTCCTGAGTGGTCGGCCCAAAGCAAACATCCAAACTAGCTTGTTTTAACCACGGAAATGGTCGTTTCACAAGAAGTCCCAGACATCCTTGACGCGTGAATCCCCTTGCACCTTTTTTTACCAGCAAAGTATAGAAAAGCCTAACACCAACAGCTTGACCAGCAAAGGGTACATTTTGCCAAATTGCCACCCGGCCAGGGCCGGCCGAACATCAGCAATCAAAGCATCAAAGCGCAAGGAGCCAAAGTTCTGATCAGTCTTCGCCTGCTCGGAGGTGAGCTTGGACACTGGCGGCAGCACTCCAAAGGCATCGCACGTGAGCCTCGGTAGGCGGTTAGGTGCTTGGCGTCCTTTCGCTAAACCGTCCAAGAAAGATGGCCCCTTAGTTTGAGATACACAACCTGGGTGCGAACTGCCTCTTTGCTTGGGGTGCTGGAAGGCAATGCACATCTGGATCCCAACTAGCTTTGGGCATGTTTTGGCAGAACGGAGTCACCTCGCGTAGGTTGAGAGTTGCAATTCAGCACATGCCTGGCTAATTTCCAAAGCTGTTCGTTGAGCCCACATAAGCAACCTCACACTGTTTTGGACTTCGCTGCATCATGTTTGACTTCAACATGTTGTCATTTTGCCTATCGGGAGTATGTCAAGCAAGCTCTGCATCTTGCTGTGCAAGCCATTTGCAGAATCCTGCCTCTCTCTCTCTCTCTCTCTCTTGTCTCTCTCTCGCCCTCTCTCTTTCTTTCTCTCTCTCTCTCTCTCTCTCTCTCTCTTTCTCTTCACCGCCATACTTCCGGAAGGAAATCCAACCCCACCATTCGCGGCCTGTGGAGTCTGTACAGGCCCGTGCACGCCGAACAGTAGTGTGTTCCTCATCTTCCCTGCTCTTGCTTTGCCTTCCAAAGGTTACTGGCATGCAGAGGGCAAAGGTTTCCATCAAGCACTTGGGTTCCTTCTTGTGGTAGCCACTGCCAAGGCACATGATGATGTTCTCAGGGTGCCCTCCCACGGCCGGGATCTTGGCGTTGGGGATGTACTCCAGGGGATACCTGCAGGGAGGGAAGGGAGAGGGACGGAGGGAAGGAAGAGGGAGGGAGGGTTGGTGGGTGGTAGGTAGGTGGCAGGGGAGCAAACAGCCAGTCAGACAAGCAACCCCTCGACCAGCCAATGGCAGCATATCTGGCAGCAAATCGTCACACACACACACACATGCTGACCCAGGCGTCAAGCAGTCCTGCTTTTTTCGATTTTCAGTCAGGCATTGGCCTTGAGGATCTGTGCCGAGAAGTTTGTACTGCAACTGTTCAAAACTGGCTCCAGCTGTTCCCAGGATTGCCTTTTAGACAAAGGTCCGGGCTTAGAAGCAAAAGCCCTGGTTGCAACAGAATGAATGGCACAGTTGACCATCAGCTTGGCATTCGTTGACGCGATGAGCATGGGCCCTCCGAAATGCCCTCCAGCAGGACAGCTTCGTAGATGCGTTGCAAGGGTCCTCTGACGTGAAACCAACCAATTTGGTCTATGGGTGTGTGGCAAAGGGAAGATTTTCAGACGTTCCAAACGATGCAAAAGGAAACCCACCTGTTGCAAGACACGCAAGTTGCCGCGCTTTTTTGCGTCTGGGATGCGAGACGCGGGTGTTCTCCGTAATGCTGCAGTCGTCATAGTCCACAGTGCCCGTGCGCTGATCAAAGACCACCTTGGCCGGCAAGTGGAATGCTGGTGCCAGGATCTACCTTCCTCCCAAGTGTGGAAGCCCCTTCATTCCAAAAACGGGGTCACGAGCTGGGAACTTCAGTCGGCCAAAATCGATGCCGTCCTTTGGGCAAAGGTCTTGCTGCTCGGAAAGAACCCCAGTCCTGGATCAGCCCTCCCTGGCACATGGTGCCCTGAAAGGAGAAGCAACATGCCTGCGAATGGGCCAGAACGATGGCGCCTTGTCCAGCCACGCTGGACGAGTTGCATTGCAAAGGCTTGCTTCGGAGACGTATCTCGCAATGCGAAGCCGGCCGGAGTTTCCCGGGTGCGTTACGTTTCGCGCAGCTGGCCGAATCGCCGTGTTGTGTGCAACTCTCAGGTTGGAACAGCTGCTGGGCCTGAAAGCTTGCCAAGGTGCGTTCTCCAGCAGTGCTCCAAAGCCTTGGCACGGGCACGTCAGGTTGCTTCGATTCGCGGAAGAATCTCAATATTCACACTACGAGCTTGCTGAAACGGTTGGTTTCCTCTCATTTTGTTACTTTTGTTTGCTGGGGGGACTCAGTCCCTTTGTAACGGGGAGCCATCTTTGTTAGCCTTATAAATGGGCTTCTTTGGCATAGGCCCAGGTAACGGGTGACCCTTCACCAATGCGCCAACTGCAGCGTCCATCCAGATCAAGTGCTTCCAACTACTACACGGCTGGCGTGTCGAGCCAAACTCAACCTCGCATCGTACTGCACTGCCACAACTGGCATGCAACACATGATGAGTCGAAGACCTGTCAGAAGCGATGACCCCTGTCCCGCTGCACCACCTCTTCCATTGCTGTCCGGTTGGATTGGTGGCTTCCCGAGGCTGACGCATTCCAAAACTCTCCCACGCGCAACCTGAAACCGTCCGAGCTGCGAATGGCGTCCCAAATCTCTGGCTCCTTCTCCCTGGTGAGGCCAATGGCCTTGGCATAGCAGCCGCCCTCGATATTGTAGATGCCCTCAGAGGCGGCAACGGGGCACCTCCCCCATAGAACGCGGCGTCGCTGGTTTGGACGGACAGTGGCACTCAAAAAATGGTTGGCGGGAGGAAAGGGCTTACAGGTTACCAACTCTGAGTTAGAGGGGCAGGGAGGTCTCACCATACTCCTAGCAGCCTACCTGCGGTGGGTGTGTACAAATGCGTTTGTTCCAACAAGCTTGAGGAGGCGAATCGATGGATTGGATTGGATTGGATCCGATGGACTTGTTGATTGCTTGATTGACTGCTTGATTGTTAACTTAAATGACTGCCTGACCAACTGATTCACTCACTCATTGATTGATTGATTGATTGATTGATTGATTGATTGTTTGGCTGGCTGGCTGGCTGGCTGGCTGGCTGGCTGGCTGGCTGGCTGGTTGTTGATTGATTGTCCAATCATTGATTGGTTGGCCTCTATTGCCATCCATTATGGCGCCTGCGGGCCTTTGCGAACGTTTTCACTCTACCATGTACTGTTGAACCTCCTCTCAGGTTGCAGTTGACATATGACCAAATGAACCTATAGCCTGCAAGTAAGCATGGTACTTGTTAGCGTTCACCGGCTGTGTTTTGCCTGCTGCTTCCTCTTCGTCCCACCGTATAAAGGAATCCGCCCTGCGATTGATTACCAAGGCTATAGATCAAATATGGAAATTTGGAAACATGGTCATCAGGTAGGTGTGAAATTTGTGCCGAGGATCCTAGTCCGCTTTCGCCTCTGAGAAAGTAAGGCTCCACATGGCACATGTTTCCAGAAAAGCGTGAGTGTCGAGCTAGGGCCCTCAAGTCCCTTCAAAGCCCAGTTACAGCCACGCGCTGCCATTCTGCCCGAGGCTTCTCTTAGTCCCGTCTCGATAACATACGCATGCATATGTTAAATGAATAAATGAATATGTATATATATATATATTTATATTTATATAACACATATATATACATATATACATGACGGTTGTCTGAAATTCCTTGTTCCGGAAACCGCCATCTTCGCGAGAAAAAAAACTTTCGCGGGCCCCATCGCGGAACTTTCGTGGGTCTGTTTTCAGAATATTCATCACAACAGTAGTACACGAAGTACACTTTCGCAGCCCCAGCTCGAAAGTCGCAGCTCTTCAGTGCGAAAGTAGTACTGAAAGTAAACTTCAGCAGCCCGGCTTGAATACGAAAGTAGTACACGAACTAAACTTCCTCAGCCTCGAAAGTCAAAACTTTTCAATACGAAAGTAGTACACAAGGTGAACTTCCGCAGCCCCAGCTCGAAAGTCGCAAGCTTTCAGTTCCAAAGTAGCACGCGAAGCGCGCTTCCGCAGCTCCAGCTCACAAGCTGTGAGCTACGCACGAGAGGACCGTTGGCCTCATGTCCGGAAACTGGCGGGGAGGTCCGTTGACATTCGCGAAACTTTCGCGGATCTTACGCCAAACATTCGCGAAAATCCGGCTGGAAGTTGCGCTCAACTTGCCCCGATAGCTTCAAAACTCCCCGGAAGCTGGTTTCTGCTGGCTGGGGGTTGCTTTTGCAGCGGCGTATTCTTGCGGCGACCCTCAGGCTGCGCATTCTCCGACCAACTTTAGTCTGCGGGCATTCTGCGCGCACTGCCGGTAAATACACATGGTTCATCACTCCAGCTTCCTGTTGGCGAGCCACACAAAACTTTTGCGGAAAAAACAAAAACTTTCGCGACCCCTTTCGCGGAACTTTCGCGAAGGTCAACGCTAAGACCAAACGGTCTTCCCCTTCATAGCTCAATACAAGGACCTTTCGGACGACTCTCACACGTGCAATACATTTTACGGTCCACTACGTACATTACATTACATTACATTACATTGGTTTTACATACATGCACGCATGGCTGCCTATCTCTGTGCCTACCTACCTACCTGTACCTGTCTACCATCTAGCGATCTATCTACCTATCACATCACACACACACACACGCACACGCCCAAAGGAAAATCCCACCAGGGCCCATGCATTGTCGGTCCAGGCATGCTCGTCGTCTCCAATGAGCTTGCGGTGCCTGACAAACAGATCCTTCCGAGTGCGTAACACCTTCGTGTCTTCGTGAGTCTAGAAACCCATGTCTGTTCAATCTGTGTACAGGGACCGTTTACAAGAACCTTTGCATATTCTGGCCAAAATGAAGGTGCAGATTGTATGTTGAGTGCCTTTTGGGCTTGTACCGGTGCTGTCCTTCAGAATGAATCATGCCCTAGTTCTGTGAAACCCAGATGCAACAACGGCACAGTACCAATACGCACGAGAAAGCAATGGACAAACATTGTGCAACATGCCTTCACTTGTGTGAATCTCATGTTCAAGCTTTTGGGTTTACACGTCGCCGTTGTGCGACATCTTGCAATGGGATTCCCCCTTGAGGCACAAGCAAGTCACACACACACGTACAGGCTTGACATTGTTGAATGACTAGTGGTTCCAGTTGTTCTTGCGGTAGGGGTAGGTAAGTCGATCGAAACACACACACAAACTCCACAGCTCAATTGCACAAAGTTGAGTCAATCCCACACATCAAAGCGGAATCTTTCTCTTCGGGTTTCTGGCCTTGCGCTGAAGATAAGTTGAAGGAAATCGGGAAAACTCCAGGGAAGACTCTTATATTGGGCGGGCTCCCCAGTGGACAAACCCGCTTTTTCAGCCAAGGAGTGCTCGGCCGTACGGATATGTCTTTGCGGATTGATGTCCAAGTGCCCGCTGGTGGTTACCATGGAAACGTGGCACTTTCCCCTTTTTATCCGCCCAAATTAATGGGAACACGTATGCTGTGCGTGTGTGCTTTCCAACCGTTTCATGATTACCAGGCCGCTCCTCCGCCTGAATGAAGCGATCGAAGCAACCCATCGCTCGGGAACAAGAACAAAAGTGGACTGGTCCTCGTCTGACGAACTTGGCCGCGTCACCAGTGCATTCAACGAAATGCAGGACAGCCTCGACCAGGACGAGGCCAAGCTGCTCAAGGCGAACAAGCGGCTTGCATTCCTCTACAACAACACCCCGGTCATGCTGTACTCGATCGACCGGGAAGACCGCATCATCAAGGTGTCAGACTATTGGCTCCACGCGACTGGTTACAGCCGCAAGAACGTAATCGGCCGCAAATTCCGCGAGTTCATTCATCATGAATTCAAGGAAGAATATCTGAACAATCGCAGCCTGCTCTCCACCGGCAGGAACGAAACGCTCGAGTTCACCTCCGTTTTTGAAAAGGCGGACGGAACCCAGCTTGATGTCCTGATCACCGAAGCAAAAGACTACGACGACAGCTCAAGCGGCCGCAGGTCACTGTCTGTCATGACCGATATCTGCAAATTGAAGGCAGCCGAAGCGGAAATCCTGCGCCAGGCACGTACTGATTTTCTCACCGGGCTATTGAACCGGGAAGGCTTTGCAGATCGCCTGAACACCGCCATCGAAGAAGCCGGCGACACGCTGGAAATTGCGGTCCTGTTTTTCGACCTCGATCGCTTCAAGTGGGTCAACGACAATCTGGGACACTTTGCGGGTGACCGGGTTCTGCAATCGGTCTCACGGGAAGTCTCACATCTGCTGGATGAAGGGGACTGTTTCGGCCGGTTCGGTGGAGACGAGTTCGCGATCATGTTGTCGAGCAACGCCGTAAGAAAGCGCGCCGTTGAACTCGCGACAAGGATCAACAGGGTGCTGAACAAGCCCATCGACCTCGGCGGCAGGACGCTGCAGATTTCCGCAAGCGTGGGTATTTCCTTCTATCCTGAAAACGCAATGAATGCGGAGGATCTGCTGAAAGCGTCCGATGTTGCAATGTACCGTCAGAAAAACAGCGGAAGAAACGGTCATTGCGTGTTCAACGAGAAATTCGGCAGGGAGGCGGCCAGACAACTTGAAGTCAAAGAGGTCATTTCCGAAGCCCTCAAGAACGATTGGTTCGAACTGCATTTCCAGCCGATCGTCGATTTGAAGAGCCGATCGACAATCGGTTTTGAAGGACTTCTTCGGCTTGTGCATCCCGGCAAGGGTATTCTCCCGCCACTTGAATACATCCGGGCTGCGGAGCAGACGGGTGGCATTCTTGAAATAGGGGACCTGGTGCTGGAATTGGGGCTGCAGGCCCTTGAGCGCCTTCATTCGAAGCCCGAATGGCAATCAACTTATGTCGCGTTGAATTTCTCTGCCGCACACTTTCTACCGGACCTGCCCGCCAATCTTGCACAGAAACTGTCAGCTCACTCGATCGATCCCGATCACCTGGTACTGGAAATTACCGAAACAACCCTGATGCAGAACAACATGGGTCTGGCCAGCTTGATCGAAGACATCAGAAATCTGGGCTGCGCGTTCGCACTTGACGATTTCGGCACAGGCTTTTCGTCGCTCAGCTACATGAACCGTTTTCCGGTTGATACGGTCAAGATCGACAGTTCCTTCATCAGCGGGCTGGACGAGACAGCCGGCAGCGAGCGGGCCAACAAGACCCACGCCCTGATCGAAGCAATCGTCGGGCTTTCGAAAAGACTCGAACTCAATGTCATTGCAGAGGGTATTGAGAACGAAGAACAACTCCGCTGCCTGATCGAGATGGGTGTTGAAACCGGCCAGGGTTTCCTGTTCGGGAAAGCTGAACCGCTCGACACCGTCCTTTCCGGGCATACAGCGCGGCAACCGGAAATAATGTCCTTACCGGATATGAAACTGAGCAACACCGGGTATGGTTAGATCAACGTAACGTAATGAGGGTCAACCGATGCGATTTTTGACAAGACGGTCCGTCGTCGCCGGAATGGCTGCCTTCACGTCCCTAACGCTGATCCGCTCGTCGCATGCGAGAACCGGGCTCGGCTCCTTGAAGGTCATGACGGAGGAATATCCGCCCTACAATTACAAAGACGGGGCAGGCCTGAGCGGCATCAGTGTCGAGATCATGGATGAGATGTTCAAGCGGGCGGCGTCGGGGCACAATCGGGAAGACATCGCTCTTTTGCCTTGGGCCCGGGGCTATAATCTCACTCTGCAACGCCCAGGACATGCATTATTTTCCACAACACGCACGCCGGATCGCGAGGATCTGTTCAAGTGGGTGGGGCCGTTCGTTCCAACAGTCGTCGGACTGACAGCGAAGAAAAGCC